TTTGCCTCCCTACACCTTCGGGTAAACCAAGGACTCGTTTTGGTTTTCCTATTATTTCTGTTTCCCTTGGGAACAAACTTTTCCTCTGCCTCCTTGCACTTTGTTGCCACATATTCCATCATCTCGTTTACTGACTTTCCTACCAGTTCTCTGTCCCACTGAACCTCCTGCAGGAAGTTTCTCATACCTGTGTAGTCCCCCCTTTTATAGTTTGGCCTGCCCCCTTCAGTTCCTGTTACCTTCTCCACTTGTAACTCTACTATATAATCAAAACTCAGAACCACGTGATCGCTAGCTCCAAGGGGCCTCTCGTAAGTGATGTCCTCAATGTCTGAACTGCTCAGGGTAACACAAGATCCAGTCTTGCTGGCTCATCCTCCCCTCTCTCTTTGGATGTGTCCCTGACATGTTGATGCATGAGGTTTTCAAGTACCACATCCATCATCTTGGCTCTCCATGTTTCGGGACCCCCATGTGGCTCCAGGTTTTTCCAGTCGATCTCCCTGTGGTTGAAATCGCCCATTACCAGTAACTTTGCTCTGCTCGAGTGAGCTCTTCTTGCCACCTCAGCCAGTGTGTCCACCATGACCCTGTTGTTTTCTTCGTACTCCTCTCTTGGCCTCCTGCAGTTCTGTGGTGGGTTATACATCACTCCAATGGCTACTTTATGTTCTCCGGACTGAATTGTACCTACAATGTAGTTCTCTTTCCTCCAATCATGTCATGCCTTCCATTTCCTCAAATCCCCATCGGTGTTTTATGAGCAGTGCAACCCCTCCTCCCCCTCTACTCCTTCTATCTTTCCTCAGGATCTGATATCCCGTTGGGAAGATTGTGTCTGTTATTGTCTCAGCGAGTTTTGTTTCTGTGACTGCTATGATCTCTGGGGATTTTTCACTGATTCTTTCGTTCCACTCCTCATGTTTATTCGTTATTCCATCTGTGTTTGTGTACCAAACTTTCAGTTTCTTTTCTGTCATTGTGGCCATGCAAGAATATTGGGGTTGGGGGAGCGAGAGCCTTGGTGGGGGCCTATATGGGGCTGTGGTGTAGGTGGGGTTTGTGATGATGGGGGTTGGGTCAGAATGCCCATAAGGGACAGCTGTTTGGGTGAGATTTTTGATATGGGGGTTGGTGGCAGAGGGAACAGTCAGTGGGTTGTAGTATAGGTTACTCAGTTGCGTTGGGAATGTCGCGGTTGGAGTCTTTTGGTGGGAGATTCTGTGGGGTGTGTTTGCCCTTCCTCCTGTGTCTGGGTCCTGCTCATCTTCGTCATTGCCTCTCGTTCCTCCTTGCGTCTCTGTACCCTCTCTTTCAGTGTAGTCCTTTCTTCTTGTGTTCTGTCGCGGTCGAGGTATACTCTCTGGTACCCCTGTTTGTCCCTCAGTCTTGCTTTCTCTTGCAGAATCCTGGTTCGAACTGATTCTTCCTTGAAAGTTTACTTTGACATGGCGTATCCTTCTACTCACAAACACCCAATTCTCTGAAAATTTGTCACCTGGGGTCATATCGCCCTCACCTATTGTTTTCATGATGCCTTCAATCATTTTTTCTCCTCCTGCTTTAACTTCTTCAAAGTTGTCCCCTGGCTTCTTGGAGCCGTACACAAAAACTGACCTCGCCCTTTCCTCCTCCCACTGAGTCTCCATCTGCTTCCTCTGAGGCATTTTATTTCCTTCCATTGACATGTTCTTGCCTTCAGTCCCTGTCATATCTGAAACTTCTATTCTCAGTGAACTGTCTTTCATGACCAGCTGTCCCTTGCTACTGCAGTTGGCTGTTAGAATCTCTGCATATAGCATACCTTCATTGTCTTCAGACCTGTCATTTGATCTTAGTGTGCTCCTCGTCTTTTCCCTGGCCCCACGTGGGTCTGAGAGGGCCTTCGTGTATGGCATGTCTCCGTTGTTGCTTACTGTCCCCTTGTCTGCGCCTGACATTGAATTTCCTGATGTCACATCTGAATTGTCATTTGTCTCTCTAATCTGTTTCAGGCTTTGCAGTTTCTCTTCTAAGCACTGTATCCTAGCTTCTGCTGCTAAGACCTGTACTTCCCACTTCCTGCACTCTTCAGCTACCCGCTCCTCCATTTTCTTACCAAGCTCTACTATCTTCCTTCCCCAATCTTCCTCCCTTTTTTGGAGCTCTAACTCCCAGTCTTTCCTCCCTGGTTCGTCTACCAGATCTCTGGTTTTCCGTCCTCTAGGGCCACCCATTTTTTTTTTTTTATTACCACAGACAGAAGGCTAGAGGAGGGAGAGGGTGAGAGGGGGAGAGAGAAAGGGTAGAAAGAGGGAGAGAGAGGAGAAAGAAAGGGTAGAAAGAGGGAGACAGAGGAGAGAGTATGGGGGTGAGGGAGAAGACCAAGGAGGAGAGAGAGAGAAATGTGAGGGGGGAGAGAAAGGGTAGAGAGAGGGAGAAAGAGAGGGAGAAAGAGAGAGAGAGGGAGAAAGGAGGGTGAGGGCAAAGGCTATGAGAGAGAGAAATGCGAGGGAGGGGTAGAAATATAGAAAAAGGGAGATGGAGAGAGAAGCCTATAGAGAGAGAAGAGGGTGAGGGATAGGATTATGGGAGTGAGGGAGAGAGAGAGAGAGAGAGAGAGAGAGAGAGAGAGAGAGAGGAGAGAGAGAGAGAGAGAGAGTAGGGGGAAGGGGAGTGAAAAAGGCTATGAGAGAGAGAAACACGAGGGAGGGGGAGAGAGAAAGATAGGAGGGTGGAGGGAGTGAAGGCAAGAGCAGGGGAGGGGAAAGGTCTGTGGGGAGGGAAAGGTGTGTGGGGGGTGAGGGGACGCGGTCAAATTCCAAGGATCAGCTGTGTGAATGAGTGGGTGTGTGTACTCACCTAGTTGTGGTTTCAGGGGTCGAGACTCAGCTCCTGGCCCCGAGTGTGTATGTGTGTGCGCGCGTGTGTGTGTGAGCACGGCACGATTTGAGTATAGCACGACTGAAGAATTGCAACACAATTTTATGTAACTAGTCGTATGATGAATTTTACACTGTTCAGTTTGCGGGAAGGTAAAAAAAAAACGCTTCCCTTTTCCTTAAGCTGCCGCCTTGTTGTGGTTCAGCTGGGGAGACCTCCCACCGTCCCCAGCCACCCCCCCCGTCCCCAGCCCCTCCCCGTCCCCAGCCACCCCCGTCCCCAGCCCCTCCCGCCGCCCCAGCCACCCCGTCCCTAGCCCCCCCCGTCCCCAGCCACCCCCCCCCCACTGTCCCCGACACCACACCACCATCCCAACATTCGTACTTCATACATGTCCAGTCCAACTTCTCTGCTACAAGCTTGTGATTGTGAATTGTGTTTTGATCTTTTAATTGCTATATGTTATATCTAGCAAACAGTCATGACACCCAGTAAACATACCAGTGTTGCTCAAAGTGGCAAGAAAAGGTGTAAACAATTAAGTCTTAGAATTAACGAAGGAAACAAAGATATTAGACAAGACATCCTGTGGTCATAATGAAGTGTTACTTTGTACACTTAAAAAAAGGTAAACATAAGTTTGTGTGACTGACTGACTGAGTGACTGACTTTCTGAGTGACTTACTGAATGATTTGACTGACTAACTGAATGACCTGACTGACTTACTGAATGATTTGATTGACTAACTGAATGACTTGACTGCCTTACTGAATGACTTGACTGACTTACTGAATGATTTGATTGACTAACTGAATGACTTGACTGCCTTACTGAATGACTTGACTGGCTTACTGAATGACTTGACTGACTTACTGAATGACTTGACTGACTTACTGAATGCCTTGATTGACTTACTAAACGACTTGACTGACTTGCTGAATGACTTGACTGACTTGCTGAATGTCTTGACTGACTTACTGAATGATTTGACTGACTTACTGAACAACTTGACTGAATTACTGAACGACTTGGCTGACTTACTGAATCACTTGACTGACTGAATCACTTGACTGACTGAATCACTTGACTGACTTACTGAATCACTTGACTGACTGAATGACAAAGTTAGACACTCCAGTACAACCATCAACTTCAGTACCAGAACCTCTACCATCCACCTCAGACCGGTGCGGCCACAACATAACTCTCCACTCTCTTCACAATCATCCACAAACATCAGCATCCACAATTTAAGGTAAGAAATACTATTATTTCTGTCACATTTATAGTCTTAAGCAGTAAAAACAACATGATACATCACAACACTGAACCGCAATTACATATTCACTTTTATTTTTGTAAGATGTGGAGGCCTAAAAAAAGTTGTTTGGCTTTTTGGGGGGGGCTCTCTGGAACGTAACCCTATTTTCCCCATAAGTTTTTCAGTTCATCTAACACGGTTTTACTAACACGGTGTTTTCAGGAACGTAATTACCGTGTTAAATAATGGTCTACTGTCCAAACCATACCCCAGCCGGGATTGAACCCGCGGTCACAGAGTCTCAAAACTCCAGCCCGGGCTGGAGTTTTGAGACTCTCTGACCGCGGGTCAAATCCCGGCCGGGGTATGGTTTGTTTGCAATCGTGTCATTACGATTTCGTAAGTCAATGGTCTACTGTATATGTAACTGTGTAACTTGAAAGAAAAAGAGAGGAGAGCTTACCTTCATGGCTGCTCTCTTTATTTGTAACCAGGGTGTTCTATATTGCTTATATTCTACATTACTCATGGTATACACAGTTGTTATGGTTATACTCTCAGACCCTAATGTTCCTCTTGACAAGTGCAAATGTAACCCCCTGAGGTTGCATATACCCCCTGGGGTTGCATGTACCCCCTGTAGGTGCATGTATCCCTTGAGGTGCATGTACCCCCTGGGCTTGCATTTCCCCCATGGGGTGCATGTACCCATGGATTTGCATTTACCTCTGGGGTGCATGTATCCCAGGGGGTGCATGTACCTCTAGGGTGCATGTATCCCAGGGGATGCATGTACCTCTAGGGTGCATGTATCCCAGGGGGTGCATATACCCCAGATTGGGATCCCCTGGTATACAGTGTTTATATATTTCTTAGGGAAACAGGAAACGACTTAGTGAAGAAACTAGCTGAGCAGAACAGAAAGAAGATTGAAAACGCTGTACAGAACCTTGGAAATATTCCCCTCGCTGACGACAAGACTGAACTTGAC